AAGCCTCAACTTCAATTTTGATGTTGGTAACCAATTGCTCAGTGCTAAAGGTACATATATTTTAAATTTAGCACGATTTCTAGTTTTTTTGTTTTTTTTTTTTCCTTCCCCAGGCGTTGTTCCCTGGGACGCCAAGTAGGCGTAATTTGATTTCTAGTTTTAAATACCGTAATGGTGTTATAAGCGTCATTTTTAATCGTTATAACGTTATTGTATACAGGATTATGCATACCGGCAAATAATACTACATTTGTTCAACAATTAAGCGAAAGGCTTGCGGTAACAGAAACACATCTAACTTTGGAATTTCTTACGGAAGTATTCGTTGGGTTTAGTAAATCAAATCCATCTCAAAAACATTTGTGCCTTCAATATATGGCACCTTGGCTTTTGAATTTAGCATTTTATGGTAAAAATGGATCTGAGACACAGAATAGTGTTGCCGATACGAAAATGATCCTGCACAAATTAATTGATTTAACTGTTCGAGAAACAGAGGTATAAAAGTTTTGCTAGATGTTAAATTTATCATTTATGCTTAATTAATGTAATGATATTGAGTTACTTCATAATCTTTTATTTATACAGATGTACACTGCAGTTCAATCTAATATATGGCACACGTTGAAAGGAGTTGATGAAATTACAAATTTAATAATTGATACATTTGTAGAATATGCTGTTAAAGTTGGTATTGGAACAACTCAGGCAGAAATAGTCGCGAACACTATGGTTACTTTATCATCAGTGAATGTTCGTGGCAAAATTATTGCACGACTAAGAAATGTAAGAATCATATACAATAATAATAGTTTTGAAGTGTTTATATATATATTTTTTTATGTATTAATTGAATTCAATTTTAATTTAAGACTATTGCAAAAACATCACAAGATCATACGAGAAATCTGACAGATAATCAAGCTTGGACTGAAATTGCCATTTTGATTAGATTTAACTTGATGTTATCATTCAACAATCGTGTATATGTTCAACTCTACTTACCTGAATTGTTTCATATTATTTCTATACTTATCGCGACTGGACCACCGTTAATAAGAGCATCAGTTCATGGTCTTATAGTTAATTTAGTTCAATCATTGTGCACAGCACAACCTTTAGCACCTGATAATTATAAGCGATTAACATTATTGCTGACTGAGTTGTCAGAACCTAATTTTAAGTTCTTTTTCGGATTAAATCATTCTCCTGGCAATGCTTTTTTGATCTCAGCAGAGTCTACGCGTGATATGCCAGATACTATGCCTCTTAGTTCTTTAGAAACTGTAATTCAAGCATTGTTGGAAGTTATTATTTGTGGAGCACCTTCTGTTGGTAAGCTTTACTTTTTTATATAATATTTGAAGTTTTAACATTGGTTATGCGTTTTTTAACAAACCATTGGTTACAGATATATCAAATGCGTGGAGAGCACGGTGGATGGGACTCGTTGCAAGTACGGCTTTCCAAAATAATCCAGCGATTCAACCACGTGCATTCGTAGCGCTAGGTTGTTTAGCACGTGAAGAGGTTGATGATGACCTATTATATCAAATATTGGTTGCATCAAAAAGGGCCCTGAACTCATTTTCAGAAAATGATTGTTCACTTATAATCAGCATAATTATGTGTTTAACAAAAATTGTTGAAAATCTTGATCCCGAATCTCGATACCTTAAATATATGTTTTGGTTATCAATGTCATTAATCCAAATAGGGCATATACCAATATTTCCAAGTGCTGTGAACTTTCTTCAAGTAGTATTAAGATCATATGATATGAATAACTTTTTTGCCACAGAAGACATAGCAACTGTACTGTTAAGAACAAGAGAGAAGTTAGCTAGTGTATCCGCAGAAATGGACAGGGAAGCAGGCATTAATTATGAACATTTTTCATTTGCTATTGCAGCAGCTCTATTAAAGGGGTTGAAAAATCCAACGACAAAATCAAGTACCCAAGCAGTACTAACTACATTTTTGGACATTGCCTCAAAAGGTATAGATCCTGATTTAAATTTGATTCATTCATCAATGCTAGGATATCTAGCAGCTTTATTACCTTTATCCGCAAAAAATGGGGATATGAAAGAGTTGCTATGGTTGTGTGGAATCTTTGACATGGACATTGATAATTCAGAATTATCTACTACATATTTCGCGATATTTGAAAAACTCGATATACCTGATAACAGAACAGCATTGCTTTTGGTTTCATTGATGGTTACAATGCTTCAGAATGCAGAACATGAACCTGAACGATTGTTTTTATACGGATTTCTGGCGGAAGCTGCGAGTATGGTGCCAGAAGTCTTTTCTTTATTGTATCCTTTTTTTTTTTAAGAAAACAATTGCAATATTATTAAATATTATTGATGGTTTTAAATATTCGAATTCTTAACTTTTATTTTAATGTAGCTTTGACGCATTACAACCCAAAATGATTCAAATTGTTACTAATAGTGACACGATCGCGATATTAGATGCCGTACAGTCCATACTACTCGCCGTTGCTTCTGTACCACAATTAGCAAGGCCACCAGAAAATCATACTTCATATTTGGAAGAAGTCAAGTTTAATAACTTGATGGAGTGTGGATCCTTCCAATCAGTTACTAGGGAAAAGATGAAAAATAATGCTAGGTTGGCTAGTGAATTAGTGGACTGTATTATTAGTCCAGATTAAAAGTGAGAATAACCGTTTATATTTATTGAAAAAAAAAAAAAAAAAAAAGCAAAATTTGTATGTAAGAAAAAAAAGGGTGAAATAGGTGTAATATATTTATTATATGAATTTATTTTTTTTTTATGGTAGTTTACCGTATAAATATGTTTCTTTTTTGTGGTTTATTTATCTGTTACAACTAATTTTTAAAAATTAGATTTTATTTAAAACAGATTTATATATAATCATTTTATTTGTTCATTATATGAAAAGTTATTCGATTCAATCATTTATGCATTGTTTGAATATTTCTAATTACATTCACGTAATAAAATTTTAAAAATCAGATAAATTTTCGCATAAAGCATCAAAGAATTGCATTAAAAAATATGAAGAAATTTAAAGCTTTAGTTAAAAAGAAATTCGTAAAATTTTACTGGTAAACGCAAACCCTAATTAAACTAAGAGCATTTTTTATTACAGTAATAAAAATTTTAGTAATATAAATAGTTTTTCGTGAAAAGTTTATTTGACTTTATTTGATTTTTATATGGGACTATAGCAAGTGTATCTCCCAAGTGTATCGTGTAGTGTAGTCTATCTAGAGATGTGCCATTTATATGATACTTGAATCTTTTTCGCGTATAGTACGTACGTACGTACGTACAGTATAGTGCGTACGGTTGTTTCTAGTAATTTGATTGGATGATCGTATTCATATTAAAAAATTTTCGCGTACAGTACGCGTGTACTGTAAGGTTTGTACGCGGCACATTGAGGTGTTCGACATGCTATATTATATATGGATTTTCTAATAATTAGACATTTTTAAGTAAATTACGCAGAGGTACCTTATACATAAAAAAGTCGAGTATTTTCAGATGCATGGGCCGCACGTTGCTTTTTTTTTATCCAAAATCTTGATACTAATTGATTCTTTATTACCACCATTACAAAGTTACAGAAGTGTTCTTTACATTATATATGAAAAATAAAACGTTTTCCTAACCTATTTACTTGCACTTATTACTTGAATCACTTAGAAGAATTATTAAATTAATAGGTAAATTTTTTTATTAAAATATAAATTTGGCTCCGTAACTTTGAGACTTAATATCGATCCGTTCGAAAGTGGAGCCATGATAAAATCTTTTATATTAAATTTTTATATGATATATACCGCGTATAATTTACATAGTATATCGAATACCCCAGCGGCACATCTTTGCCCACGAATTGATATCTTAGCTATGTACAAGCACAAGATAGTTTATTACTGAAGATAACGTCGTTGCAATCTCCATCACAGCGATGGTTCTTCTAGTATCTTCAGTAATAAATTATGTCTTGGCGAAAGTGAGTGGATAGTACCTATACGATATATCAGTGAAGAATAGAAGACAAACGAAATTATAAAAGTTCGCATTGGTTCAGCCTAGTTCAATCAAACTTCAACAGCAATTCGGTCTAGTTCAAACAACCGTGGAATCAATACAGGTTCTTTACTTATACTACTAAATTTTCTTATAGCCAGGGATGTTAGGAAGTCTGGACAGTTAGTCTTAAGACCATTCTGAAACTGACAAAATCAGCATACTTTCAGTTTTAAGACCAGACTAGTCTGAGCTAGCCTCGATGTGTCTAAATTAAATAAATAACTGAAGATCGGCTCAGACTGGACAAAAATAAACCAGACTAGCTACCAGACTGTTAACATCCCTACTTATAGCTTTAATGCTAACATACCTTATCATGTGATTTTGATATATTATCAGCAATATGAAAACTATGAACACCAATTTTTCACGAGTCATCCACAGACCACATGTACGAATGATAAAGCTCTTCTAGTAGTTTTCGTAATACGTTACAATTTAATCTGTTATTGCTGTTATTCTTGAAGGTGTAGTGGAGAGTAGTGGTAATGAAAGCTTTATTTATTCGTACAACATAATTTGTAAATTGCTTCTACGTATACGCATATAAAAATTAATTGTATCCATGATATGTCACACAGTTATACATAATACAGACAAGAAATAAATTTAGCGAAAATAATTCTACTATTAGCTTAAAAGTACAAAATTTCTATTCTAAATTATAGAAATAATGGCAGGAAAAACAGGAAAACCTTTCTTTAAGCATCTTTCCATCTTAACATATTTATTTCCTACAGTATCAGCAAGCTTGCAACTTTCTGATATGTTCAACTTTGAAATAAAGGATCACATACCTTATATTGTGGTCACTGTAATTCTTTTAATCCTTATAATTTTAGAAACAATTCTAGAAATTATAAGACCCCATACGCAATATGGATGAATCGCATAACTTATTCTATCTATTTTATCTTAATAATATTTTTATTATTCATTTTTCCGCCTATATTTTCCTATGCTACAAATGGTTTTAGTGCAATAACAATAATTTTAATAAGTGCTAGCAGTACATCAATCGGATTGTCAATATTATTATTATTAGTTTATTTCTTTCGTATAGAACCTAATTTGTGTTGTTTAAATATCACCGTTGGAATTCTGGCAACTGCCTGTCAACTAGTTTTTATTGGCACATTGTTAATGATGACTGATTTCGATGTTAAAATCCTTGTTTCGTTTGTTGTTATTTTATTAGTTATGGTTTTATTTTGTTTTTCATTGAGATTTTATAATTTTATTCGGTATCTGGAAGTAATTATATTACTGGAAATAATTTTGATTGGAATTGAATATTATCTGGTATTTTATGGTATGTTAAAAGAAGTAAACAAAATTTCACTTTTATTGTTTTGGGCAACTCTATGGTTTATATTAATTTCTATCAGTAAATTATTTATACCTAAGTTTAAACTGGTTTTTATAAGCGATTATCCAAGAGATTATCCAAAAGTAAATAATGAGATAAGTGAGACTCTGTAATAAAAGTGGATGGTAAAATAATATCGATATAACACTTTTTTGCAGTATAGTTCTATTACTAATAGTTAATAATAAAGTTTCAAAGTAATATCTTTATCTATTTAATGTTGATTATTGCATACGTAATTTTCTTTATTATGTTACAGATTTTTGATCAGCTTTATAAATATTAATCTTATGCACCATTGGCAATATTACAAAAAAACCACTCGACACTTTCTGTGCGTGTTAATTCTTTTTCTTTTTTAGTTTTGTTATATCTAGTGTATTTTCATTTCGACAAAGTGGGAAATCTCCTATGACCATTTTTAAAAAAATTTATTTCTACAAGTAATTCAAATTAAAAAAAAACTTGAATATTAGTGTCAGAATCCATTAGTTAGTATTGTCCATGGACATAGAAAAAAAATAATAATTACTGCAAGTAGAATTTCATTATTATTTATAATTAGATCTTTGATATTAAAATGTTAAACAACAATATACTGTATATATATAGAATATAAATTTACTACTAGTAGATAGATATTATTTTGGAATACATATTAAAACCATGCATATTATTTTTAGATGGTACAATTTTCTAAATAATACCTATGTTTATTATATATTACACAGTTATACGTACTATATGAACTTATAATTTTAAATATTTAGTTTAATAAATATTTTATTAATATAATGTGATTATAAAGATTTAAAACAAATGTAAAATTGTTGATTTCTCAAAAATCTACACAAGAAACCACCTTTAGTGCCCTAGCAAAAAGGTTTTCTTAAGTGATTTTATTATATAATTTGCTAACTATATAAATCAGAATTTATATGTATAAAAAAAACATAAATTTTGCATTACTAAACATTAAATTTTTTTTTATAGACAATAAAGCTATCAAAACAGCGTTGACATCTGGACTATTTTTAATAAAAATTCCATTTGGACGTGGATCTGTATCCAAATTTGGGGTCGGTTAAAGCGGAGCGAATTCAATATATAAGTGCTGCCAAGGGAAAACCTGTAAGCCAATTGTGAGGTGAGTTTACCCCTGGGAAATTGTGATATGACGTATTAAGGGTAGGGTGTACAAATTTCCAATTTCATATAAAATAGATTGTACATCAACTTTTTGTATATGATATCATATGATTTACATGTAAAC